GCATCGACCTGTGAACAAGGTCACGGCTCGATTCCCGGTCAGGGCACATGCCCGGGGCTGTGGGCTTGATCCCCAGTGTGGGGCGTGCAGGAGGCAGCCGATCAATGGTTCTCTCTCATCATTGCTGTTTCTATCTATCTTTTCCTCTCCCTTCCTCTCTGAAAGCAATAAAGATATATTTTAAAAATAAATAAGTAAAATAAAATACACACGGCAGCTTGACTGGAACCCTGTGAGCCTGATTGGAAGGAGTCATTTGTGAAACGTCCTTTCTGAGACAAGGATGTTTGAGGGTGGACTGGGGAGGGGATGACATGAAGGAATTGTTTGTTTAAATGCGTTTTTAAAACGTTTCTATTGTGACAAGACGCTATGGTTACATCAGAAAATGCCCATTTTTTTAATGGGTGCACACCAGAGAATGTAGGGGTAAATGGGCCTGATTTGGGGATTGGTTTTAAAGTAATTCAGAAAAGAGGAAAAAGACAAGAAGGATGGATGGAGTGATTGAAGACAGGTGAGCAGAGGTCGATCTGACTATTCTCGCTCCTTTGGGGCACGTCTAAAATTCTTCATAATGACAGATCTTGAATATACAGGGGAAAGTGGGGGGAAGGGCACCATAAAAGCAGACAGCCAGTCCCTAACACCACCTCTGCCACCTACAGATGCCGCTCTCCGCTGCTGGGAGGGTACTCGCTGGTTCCTGGACGGGGTCAGCAGTTAGCACCCAGCACTCACCCGGGCGCTCATGCAGAGGGCTCGGGAGGGAGCCCGCAGCCCTAAGCATGTCTGGAGCTTCCTCCTCTCCGGCGCTGGACCAGCTCCCTGGCATGCCGCCCTCTAACAGCGGTTATGTATGTGGCGGGCACGGCCTGTGCAGCTAGTCCCCCGCCGCCAGGGGAAACTCCCTAGCACTTAGCTCCAACGTGGTGGGAGGAGCGTGGAGACGGGGGAGCCGTGGGGACAAGGGAGATGGAGGAGCCAGAGGTCCTGTGACGGCTGCCCCTGAGCTGGAGAACCATCCTGCTCTCGCCAAGTCCTGTGATGGCTGTGGTCCCAGTCCTGTGAGATCACCCTGCAGCCCTCTCTTCCTCCTCCGATCCAGAAAGTACGCAAGCCTGTCTCGCATGCACAGCGATGTATAAAGTTCACAAGTCACTGGAAACTCCGTGCTTTGTCAGTAAGATGGTCTTGGTGACACAGCTCTCCACAGGTTAAGTCCCCGTATCATCTCCCACCCTGAGAGGAAGGCCCCTGGCACCTGTGCTCCTACCACCTGCACAACCACCTCCCTGTCTTCCCCTCCAGCTCCAGAGGCCCAGGGAGCAGCCGCACCGCAGGCTCCCACACGTGGATTTCAGGGAGGAAGTGAGGCTCTTGTCTTTGGGGAGAGGTTAAGCACAAGGCCTTGGACAGACAGTGCTGGTGCCAGCTCCGCCTCCCTGCCAGTCACACACCCTAAGCCCGATGCTGTCTTCCTCACGTGGGTGTGAGGTTCTTCCAGCGTTAACTCCGTGCTGCAGAGGGAGACATGCAAACTGCGGGCACACAAGTATTTAGTAACTACCGTCACTCTGTCACCCCCACTCTGGGCAAGCGCCCTGAGCCTCCCTTGTTCATTGTTTCCTTACGCTTCGCCCAGGACAGTCCTTGCTATAGATCTGCTGAATGGATGAATCCGTCCATCCAGTTGCCATTGACTAAGAGCCGGCCAGGAGCTGTGCTATGTGCAAAGGATGGAGCAGTGAACCGAAGAGCAAAGTCCTGGTCCCTCCGAGCTTATGTTCTCGTGAGGGAGGCGGATGGCATACATGTCGGTGAGCAGGAGGAAACAGAGCAGGAAGAAGGGGGTGAGGAGAGCCGGGGGAGGGGAGGTTGCCCTTTTTTATATGACAAACGTCTCTCTGAGAAGGTGACATTGGGGCAGAGACTTATAGGACGTGAGGGAGCAAAGCCGCAGGTACACATGTGTTCTGGGCAGAGGCCACGCATGTCAAAGGGCCTGGAGCGGCCGTGCGTGGTGCTTCTGAGGCACAGGAGGCACTGCGCTGGGGTGGATGAATGAGAAGGCTTGTAACTCTTCTTCTCTGATTAAAAATGAACACACAACACAATCCAGTCATGGAAAAAGGTGTATTAAAATAGTCACAAATGTACAATTGAAAAAGAAAACAAAAAACCATGAGCCTGATGGTCTTCCCCAGCTGGATACATTTCCATGGAAAAGCAACAGAGGGTTTGGATTGTATCTCTGAGTAACCCCTTGAGTGCTGCCTTCCAACAACCACACGGAACCAGGAGGGCTCATGCTGCCAGGAGAGGACGCGGGAAGGGCTCTTCCATTTAGAAGCAGCCCCACGGTTGGCCTGGGACAGGAAGGCGGGGACATGGAGAAAGGGCCCCAAGACCCACAGGAGTGGAGTGAGGGGCGGAGGGAGCACTGCGGGTGATGCCCAGCTGCCAAGCGCTGACCCATCGGAGGGGCTGGCTGGGTGGGAGGTGACGTGTGGGGCAGGAGGTCGCATGGGGAGCTGAGTGAGAGGCCACCCGTGTGGTTGGAGAGAGTGCGGGCGGGTGCTCTGGGTGGCAGCTCTCAAAACGAAACGAAAGGAGAAACTGGGGCTGTAGCTCTTCTGAGCCATCAGGAGTGTATAGCTTATTCACAGGCATGGTGAGAAGGGAGAAAAAGGAGGACGCCCCTTTTCTCTGTAAAGTGGGGCCATCAGGGAACACCCCACATCTAATTGCACACCTGCCTCTGGATGTGTCCTTTCTGGCTTCAAAACAAAGGCTCACGAGTACCGTTATCTGGGAATCCGTCTGGAAAGGGGACAGCCCAACACCCATCCTCCCTCCCCGCACCCACGAGGGCTTGTTTTCAAACGGATGCAGGAAGCTTTAGGAGGCAAGGTGGACCTGGGTGGACCGTCCTGGGCGGACTCAGGGTCCCGGGCTCGCGCTGGGCCCATGAGCAGGAGGAGAGAGGCCTCAGGGCGTGGACTCCCCCCACCCCCCTAACACAGCGCAGACCACAGCCGCCAGCCTCCGGACACGGAGGGTGTGGGTGACCACAAAGCCCCCTGCATACGATACATTAATGGAGTGCTGGCTGGGCCCTGGGGAAGAGGCAGCAGCGCCTCAGAAAACAGACCACGTGTCCTCTCCCATCTGATCACCTCCACACCTTTCCACCAAACCCTGCTTGACACCCTTGAGAATCCTCCTGGCAGCCGGCCAAACCGCCCCACAAAGACGACAGAAGCCGGAAGGGAACGGAAGCAGCTGGTGGCGGACCCCACACCACAGGGGAAACGGACACTGCCGCCACTCCACTTCCCCAGCCATGTCCTGTGACCTCCGCCACTGTGGGCTTTCAGACCATTTCACATCGAAAACAATTATTTTAATACAAAAGACTCTAGGAAATGGAGGAATGACAAATATAAATAAATGTTTAATGATCTCACTTTGCTTTTTAGTCCCAGTAATAACAGAAATCATAGGTTTGAGATGGGGCGGGGGTTGTCGATGGGACAAAATGAATGACCTGGACTGTCTAGATTTTTCCTCATCTCATTGTTCATCAATTCCATCGATGGGGACAATGTGGAAAATGAACAAAAACAAACAGGAACAGAGAAGAGATTCCCAAAGTAGAAGGAGAAGTCCTAGTCCTACTAGCTGATCTGAAAACACCAGCGGCCTTGAGCCTCAGAGGCCCCTGCAGCTCCGAGCTCTCTGACTGTGTCCAGAAGGAAGACGATTCCCTAGAGGGCGCCCTGGATCCGACAGCGGCTACGTAATTACAGTCAAAGCTCCTCTCTCCAGGGGCTCCCGTCCCCAACAATTCACGTCTCAACCTGGCAACCCTCTCCTGCTGAGCAAACAAAGGAGAGAGAGTCTGAGTCCATCTACCACTAAACCTCACGTTGTTAAGATCTCAGGAAATTGTGGTGTGAATATTTTTGTAGGTTTTTTTTTTGCTTTTGTTGCTTATTATTAAGCTTTCATTTTTTTACATTTCATCTCCTTTTTGTTAAATTTTCATTTACATTTCATGCCCTTTCTGTTTTAAAGTGTTTATTTATAAATTAAGCAGTACACTAGACATGTACTGTATATAAGAACAGATCATTCGGGGGTCTGGAGTGGACTAATTCAGTTTACATGATTTCTAATGGGAAAAAATGATTCCGTTTTCGAACAGCCTTCTGGGGCGAATTGATGCGAGACCGGAGGTTCCGTGTACCCCGTTCCTGCCCACCTGGAAGGCAATGAACTCCTCCCGGGCAGCTGTGCGGCTCATTTCCAGCAGCAAAGACAGTAACTGACACCTGCACTCTGCTCCCCAGGCCGCCGGCTCCTCTTTCAGTTCCATGTGCAGGGTCCCGCTCTGAGAGCACCGAGGAACTGGCCCCAGTAGGGTGTAACCTTAAAGTCCGTGTGACAGCTTATGAAGAAAAATGCTCTTTGCTTTAGAGCCGGGATGGGGAACCTTTGACCCAAGGGCTGTATAAGGCTTGCAAAGGCATCAGGGTGAGTTAATTAAATGTTTGACCAAATATAGCAGACTAATTTTTAAGTTGATAATTCTGTCTGGTTCGAGAATATTATAAATACCCAAGTGGCACTTGGCAGAAAAACGGTTCCCCACCCCCGCTTTAGAGAGAAAAACATCGACAAAAGTTTCTCAAATTGTCTCCAAGAGGCATAGCTAACGGGCGTTTCCTAAAAACTACCAACAGTCGGAACAGACGGTGGGGGACAGGCCACCCTGGCTATGTCTCCTGCACAGTATCTTCATTCTCCAACTACAGCAAATGCTAAGACTGGTTAAGCCCTTAGACAAAAAGGCCACGTCTGTCGGGACACTAAGAGCGTGCTACATCGCCATTAAGGCACACCATATCCGAATGATGGTGACAGGAATGTGGCTGAATTTCCCCACCTGTAAATGACCCTGGATGCAAAAAAGTAGAAAAAAAACAGCGAGACAATTTACATATATGTAGAATCATACCATCTTTTCGTCATGCACCACTGCTCCTCCCATCCGAAGATTAAATAGAAGATTTATACATATCCTTTCCATCTCCTCCCCGTGCCTGTCCGTGTCTGGGCCACATGTGCTGCGGGCCACACTGCTGCACAAGAGTCCAGTTTGACTTGGTTTCTTGCTTAGGATATGCTCTGGGTCTTCTCTTAATTTTTCCGGATGTCCGCATACACCACAGACTCTGACTTGTTAATCTTGTCGCTGTGGTGTCCACCGGAGTGGTCTAGCTGCGCATATATGACTGGGCCCTGGGGGAGAGAGGCTGGATTAGGTTTGGAACACCTGGTGGTCGCTTCAGGCGCAGGTAGAAGCAGTGACTAAAGTGACAGCGGGGGCGAGGTCAGGGGTTCGAACATCTGACAGGTGGCTGCACATCCTGACCTTAGAGTCCAAGATTCTAAAATTATAAACAGCAACAAGAAAAACAAAAGAGCCCTGGTTTCAGAAGAAGCGTCTAACTGGCCTGCGATCCGGGACAGTCTCCTTGAGAAGTCTAATGCTGTACTTAAGCTTTCAACTTGGAACTAATAAGCTCAGCAGCTAAAAGCAAGTAGTTTAAAATAAACATCCTTGCCCTGGCCAGGGAGCTGTTGCTTACAGCGTCGTCCTGATGGCATTAAGGTTTTGGGTTCAATCCCTGGTCAGGGCACACACAAGAGTCAACCAATGAAAAAGTGGAACGTGATGCTCTCACATCTGCCGTGGGTACTATCACATCACACTGTTAACCCTGAGTCAGAGACTCTACATTCATGCCAGGAAGCTGCAAGTTAAATGTAAGCCCCAAAGGAGGAGGAGTTGAAAAACACACAACTTGTTTTCCACTACAGCTGGCCCTTGAATGAGCTGGGTTTGTACTGCGGGGGTCCCCTTACGAACATTTTTCTCAATAAGAAACTGGAAAGCTTTTTGGAGATTTGTGACTCTCTGAAAAACCACACAGATGAAAGGAGTAGCCTTGAAATACTGAAAAAATTAAGAAAAAGGCTTGGCATGAATGCATGGAGCATGTGTGGGTGCTAGTCTGTCCTGTCGTTTACCGCCATAAGACATGCAGCAAGAGACAGCAGGTTGGGAGTAGTTAAGTTTTGGAGGAGTCAAAAGTTGTATGCAACCCAGCGTTGTCCCTGGGTCAGCAGTACTAGACCAGAAGGAAAACAGTGTTCTCTTGCGAGCTAATTGACCCCTGCTTACAGTCACTTCCAAGGACAGGACAGACCCTGACACTGTATGTAACTTCCCAGAGAACACCCCCCACCGTAATTCATAAACACCCATAAGGAGTTTTGGGGTGTGCTCGTGGGAGAAGGAGCTTATACATGAGACACACAGTAAAAATGGCTACAAATCCTTTCTCAACTCCGCTCTGGTGTTACATGACAAATGCTGAAAAGAGACAATGAATTGACACAAGGGTTGAACAACTTCTCACCATCCTGCAGAAAATGCCAGAGGCAGGCCTGGGCGGGCAGGGGATTGACGCCAGGAGAGATGAGCCAGTCCTGACTCAGGGCCATGGACAAGCAGGGGGAGGGGTGGGCCCTGAAAACAGGTTGGGGCGGGCAAGTTCATGAACTGAACAGTGAGCCCTCTTCATTCTCTGCTCAACTCCCTGTGGAGACATCAACCAACTCCAGAGAAAGGACCCTCAGCAACTGACCGTGGAGGCCCCCAAAGCCGCCAGCCAGCCCTTCAACACAGCGAAGCCACGACCCACAGCTCCAGCTCAGACCTGTGGCCGTGGGTCTGAGTGGAGAACCCAGGACCACTGGGCATTTCAGGAAAGCTTCTGACATGAGACAAAGAAATTATAAGAAAAAAGGGGACTTCAACAGAAACAGAGCCAAATCAGTATCAGAAGAAAGCTTTAAAAAATAGAGCTTGCAAAACGAGAGAAAATGATATACTCAAAGAGATACGATGCCCTGACCGGTTTGGCTCAGTGGACAGAGCATCGGCCTGCGGACTGAGGGGTCCCAGGTTCAATTCCAGTCAAGGGCATGTACCTTGGTTGCGGCCACATCCCCAGTGAGGGGTGTGCAGAAGGCAGCTGATCGGTGTTTCTCTCTCATCAATGTTTCTAACTCTCTATCTCTCTCCCTTCTCTCTGTGGAAAATCAATAAAACATATATTTAAAAAAAAGAGATATGACAATGCATCCATGAAAACAAATGCAGGATATTATAACCAGAGAATAAGAAATAGCTCTTGAGCTGGCGTCAGAGCCGCGCCCGCCGGTCAGAACGTCACAGATGCAGCTGGCCATCGGCCTTCTGTAGCCAACATGCGGGCGTGTCGCTCTTCCTGCCGCGGGCCTCAAGGCAGGAAGGAAGCTGGCGCTCTCTGGGCCCCAGGTTCCCGGACACAGTCTGAGGCAAGGTGGAGGGTGTGCGGGGCCTTCACATGCATTCCAGGCTTCTGCCCATCACAATATAGAAAGAAACTGCACCTGGATTTCCCCCAACAACTTGTATTTCCTCCAAGTCTTCCTTAACCCTACGGAACAGGAAGCTGCCACTGAGGAGGGCCCAGTACAGGGGCTGCTTTCTTTTTTACTCCTCCCCCACCCCCATATAAAAATATAGATTTATTTTTGTGGTCCCCCAAAAAAGATAACAGATATTAAATGCTCAACAAAAGTTGGAGGATACAGTTGGAGAAATTTTCTAGAAAGAAAAAAGCAAAACAGAAAAAAGGAGAAAAACGAAAAGATTGAGCTAGGACATGGTCCAATTCCTAACAGGAATTTCCAAAAGAGAGAAAATGAAAGGAGGAAAATTTCCGGAGATTAATGGAAGAAAATATCCTAAACTGAAGGACATGGTTTTCGGATTAAAAGAACCCACTGAATAGCCAGCACAACGAATAAAAGAAGACCCACAGTTCTGTGCAGTTTCAGAACAGGAGGAATAAAAACCAACCCGAGAAAGGGCACAGGAAGAGGCAGAAATCACAACAGTAGCAACTCAGCACTAGAAGCGGAAGAGTCAGCCACGCTGCCAAACGCAGGAGGGAAGTGATTTCCCACCTGGAATCTACGCAACCAGACCCTCATGCAAGCCGAGGGAGGAGAAAGCGATGTTACACATGCTGCACACAGATGTGTTAGCTCCCAGTTTGGAGGTCAGAGGGCTGACCCGGGGCTGCATGTGATCGAGGTCCGCAGGGCCGAGATCCGCTGCCAGACCCTCAGGGAGGACCCGTCTCCTTCCCCGCCCAGCAGATGGAAGCTGCCTCATTCCTTGGCTCATGGCCCAGCCTCCATTGTCAAAGCCAACAGCATAACCTCTTCCAATCTCTCTGGATCTGACCCTGCGGCTGCCCTGCGGTCACCCCTGGCCCACACAGATCATTCAGGAAAATCTGCCCATCTCAAGATCCTTACCACAGCTTCAAGGCCCCTTCTGACCGGTGAGGTCACACATCCCACAGGCTCCAGGGCAAGGACGTGGACATCTCTGGAGGCTATTATGCTGCCTCAAAATCTTTATCTCCCGTTCACCCTTTCTCGAGAAGTTACGGAGGATACGCTCCACCACAACATGGGAATAAACGAAACAGGTGAAGACGTGCGGTCCAAAAGAAGAGGGGCCGGAAATTCCTCGGAGGGGAGGCCCAGGACTGCGGCCCAGCAGCCCGAGGCACAGCAGAGCCCGCGGTGCGAACAGGCCCGTCTCCAGGAATAGAATGAAACCAACGGAGCATGTGCATGAGGGTGGTTGAGTGTTCCCAGGGGTTCTCATGGGAGAGCTTTGAGATGGATACAGATAGGTACTTAGAAGACTGAGCATATAAAAAAAAGGCACATCTTAGCTCCATAAAAACAAGACAATTGTACAAGAAACAAATATATGTGGTACCATGGTGAAAACAACGGGGACACGTCACACTGAAAAACATCTACCTCAATATAGTGAGCTAAGCATCCTGGGAAGAGGCATGCGTGCATACAGTAGGGATGTGCGTGTTGGGAGGAAGGGCTGGGGGAAGAAAGAACTAAATTCTCATTTCCATAATATGGAGTCAATGAGTAATATCCAAAACTGAAAACTCCAGAAACAGAAATACAAATGAAGATAAATACCAGAAGAACTGGCTGAAAGATTGGGAAGTGTTTGGCTATGACTTCTTCAATGTTTTGTCCTCTTCCCTTTCCTCTGAGACCCCAGTCGGGCTGCTGGGATCTGCCACGGTTACAGTCATAACAGCACAGCCACGGCACCAGCCCCAGCGCTGGGTGCTGTGCAGGTTCCCATAAAGCTATTTCTCGTCGGTGCTCCCGACAAGTAGCAGCGTAAGCCTCTGCTTGCTCATGGGGCCTACTCATTATTCACTACAGGCCGACCTTCAGCTTCTTCTAAAGAGTTCATGCAAGCCCTAGCTGGT